CCCATAACCCACTCCCACAGTTTTGGTCATATGCAGTGTTCTGGGACCAGCATTGTTTGCCTTAAAACATGAAGTCTTGCACCCAAAAGCCCACCGAGGTGTCCTCCAGCCACCAGCTGTGGCTGTCCTCTTCAGACAGCACAAGATGGGCACTGTGGCAGCGAAATCCACACTGCAGCACACGCTGAGCTTTGCCATGGTTGCCCTGGCCAGCAAACAGCACATGTTCACCCCTATAATGATACTGATATTTTATGTTTCAGTGACTAATTGTCCCTGGGAGGCATTCAGGCATGGGCACTTGAAGGACTCAAAGAAGCACTCCCTGCTCTGCTGGCACATCCCTGTGGCTGCGGCCGCACTTCGGACCCTGCTTCTCTAAGGAAGGTGTTCCCAGTGCCAGGCGCTCCTGTGGGACACTGCTCGTCGCCTTCTCCAATGCTCTCAAGCAGAGAGCCTCTCACAGGATGAAATCCCCTCCCTGTGCCAGCTCCCTCCTCCACCTGCAGCTCCTAGGATGCACAGCAGTGCCTGGCAGCCCATGCTGACTCTCCTCTCTGTTTTAAGGACCCTGCCAGCTTTCCAAGACCCAACATTTCCTTAAGTGCAGCCACAGTTTTGGATCCCTTCCCTCTGTCTGACTGACCTTAGGTGCTGCTGTATTAAATACGCTTGGTCCCCTCCTGCACTGGGTCCTTCCAGGCTGGGTCTCTTCTCCAGTTGCCCCAGTGCCACCTTTGATTGCAATTACATCATTACCTTCACGCTGTGCATTTGATAGCCCAAATTTCCTACTCTTGCAGACATGCAACTACTTGTAATTGCTTCTTAATGTTTCTTTAAGCAATAATATTCCAAAATTGCATAACTCTGAAGAAAAAGCTTGGAAGCACAAACTCCCATCTTCAGTTCGAAAAAAGAAAGCCTTTGAGGCTTTCCCGGGTTTAAAGTAAGCTCTTGCTTGTTTAAGTTACTGGCAACTGCCATTACCAAAGGCTTTGCCCCTGCAGACCCATTCACTGCTGAAACCTCCAACCCCACCTATCAATGGAATTGGGCTTCTCCAACAGAGCCTGTTTTCCACAGAACCACTACATGGAGCCTGTCCCTCAGCAGCTGCAGCGGGAGCAGCCTCCTGTGCATGCCCAGCCACTTCTCCTAGCTCACCCCCCTCAGTTCTGGAGAGCCGGGACTCAGGCTGGCCAAGGTGCTCCCCTCCTGTCCCAAGCCAGGTCCCCGGGGTCTCGGCTTCCCGCGGTGCTGGTTACCTGCTGCAGGGCGGCTGGGCAGGCGGGACGGGTGCTAGGGTGCAGAGCAGGACCCCAGGTGGTGTCTCCGGTCTTCACCCCACAGCCTGCCCTGCATCCTCTATTTATGTGCTGCTGGTGGTGGCTCCACCATGAAACACTGGTGGGGGCAGACGGAGGAGGCGGGGAAGGTTCTGTAGCACAAAAGGTGGGTGGGCAGGGCCAGGGAGATGCTTATCTTGCGGGTGGTGTTGGCTTAGTCTGTCTGGCTGCAGACTAATCCGGCATCTCCCAGCTGTCTGCAGGTCTGTGCTATCTCCCCACGCCCCTCTTTGCAGACTTCAGACCGGGTTCCTGAAGCGTCAGCATCTCCCTGCGCTTCGCAGGCTGCCGGGAGCATGGGTAACAGTGTCCAAATCAAACTGATTTGAAAAGTCTAGTGAGGCAGCACAGGTGGAGGGCAGCCAGCTCTGGGGTGATGCACCCCACAGTGCTCCCGCTCAGGAGCCGAACACGGGTATGGACCTTCTCAGGGCACATGTTTTATCCTTGTCTCCATGCAGCTTCCTGGGGCATGCTTGGCACACACCATTTAAAGTGCTTTAGGCTCTGCATCGCTGTTTTCCTCTGGATTAAGACACCTGGAGCCAGGGTTATGTATCTCAGTAGAGGAGGTAGGCATGAGTTTCACATGCAGGCATAATCCAGGTGTCCTGACCAGCACAGGCAGCCCAAGCTTCCCCCAAGCTTCCCTGGGTCCCCTCTGCTCTTTGGTGTGAAATCATCATAGCCTGATGTACTACTGAGCTCATTGGAAATGTGCCCCCCGACCTTGCAGAGGAATGGGATGGTGAAAAACAGAAATACCTCGCAGCAGATGGGACTGTGGAGAGCAGCTCCCTCATGTACGTGTGTGTGCCCCTCAGAGCAGGAGGTGCTGCAGAAGAGCATAGGCTGGGGCTGCTGGACCACAGTCTGTCTCCTGCAATGGAGCTATGCTGTGCTCAGTGGAGTGAGCACAGCACAGTGAGGTGGGATGCTGCCCAGCCCTCACTCTCTTCCTGCCACCCTCTCACAGCTCCTTAAGATGAAAATCCCCATTCCTCTGGGAGATATGTGACCACCATGCCCCACAAACCATGAGATCACTCAGATACACTGAGCTGCACATGCAAAATACTGGTGTGGCCTCGGTGGCAAGGGAAGGGAAGGGAAATGAACTTGAAAGACCAGTTATCTGGAAGGGGTTGTCGCTGTCAAGGGCAGCCCTGAGGACTTCAGTAGAAGGGACAGTGGGTGGTGGGTGACAGGTGATACACTGGGCTCTTGGCCCTGCTCTACCGTGAATGCTGTGTACAGGCATGTCTTTACAGCTCCTGCAGTGATTACTGCAGACAAAGCAAGTGAAACCCCATCCCCTGCTTCCTGAAGCCTTGTGTGGGCAGAACAGCACCAGCCATTCCCTCTCACCACCTCCTGCATCCAACCCAGCACCCCGCGGTGCCACTGCTCTGCCCTGGTGCATGCTATGGAGTGTGTTTGCATCCTCAAGACCGCAGTCTGTGGCAAAACACCACAGATGCAGCCCTCACATTGCCAGCCAGGGAAATGCCACTGCTGGATGTGCCTGCAGTGTGGATGTGGAGCAATCCTGGAATGTCCAGGGCTCACACCCAACTTTATTGATTCCCACACTCACAGTTAGCACACAAAAGCCATTGTGTTTGTGACTAATACTCAGCGGTTACTTCACCTCTGCTGAGTGCAGCTGCCTGTCCTGTAGCGCTGCTGCTGCTGGGGCACAGGGGCTAATCCATAGGGCCCATGCAGACTGCAGAGAGGTTCAGGGCAGCTGATACCTGGGCTGTTGTTAGGTGCTGTGAGCCCGTCATCTGGGCTTTCACGTGGCTGGTTTTGAGAGCTGACACATTGTGCACGCCCATGCTCAGCATGCTGGGCAGGAGCCTGCTCTGCAGGCGAGCATCAGCTCAAATGCATCAAATAGTGTATTTGTTTCTGTTCAAACTCATGGTAATGGTACACGTTTTACATCAACAGATGCAGTTCCTGAGAGGACAGCCCATTAGCGAGGCTTGTCCCCCACAGCCTTGCACTTCAAGGTGGTCCAGATTCATGCTCAGGTCTGGGCTCCGTGGAGTTACGGGGCACTTTTACTCATGTGAGTTTGGAATACATACCCAGACTAAGATCCTTCGGTTTGCAACAGAGCTGTTAAAATAAATACAACACAATGAGGTTGAGCTAATCAGTTTTTACTTTTTTGTCAACAAATATGGTTATTACTCGAGCAAAAACTTGCAGAAGATTTGATACAGCTTGTGTTCAGGAAGCAAAAGACAACAGAGACGTTCTTCCTAAATATAAATACTTCAGCATTCTATAATTTAATAAAAGTCTCGTATAAACTAGATTAGGCTGAAAGTATGGACTAAACACTTGGCAGCAAAGCAGAATTGGAATTGGCTGTTGTCACCTTGCAGCAGCTCCCAAGACTTATGGAAAGACTTATGGCAAGGCTCAGAGTGTCTTTGAGGGCAACTCCCCCAAACCAGGTTTCAATGGTGTTTTAGTTTGGGCCCCCAGCCCACCCTCCTTTCACTTTTGCTTTCATTTATGTTTAGTGCAGACATGGCAAATGGCTCTTATGACCTTCATTACCAGTTCATGGAACACAGTGCCTTCACAGCAAAACTAAGATCAACCTCTCCTTCCCGTCAATAACGAGCTCCCAGGATGCATATCCGTGAAATGACTCTTACAGGACACAGGGATGAAGCCACATTCCCTTTCCCAGTTACTGCATGGTGAGAATGGGTCTTTACTTCTTGAATAGGTTTGGTTCACTGCCCCATCCTGAGGGACTGTGCTAGAGACACCCAGTGCTGCCAGCTCCCTCAGAGGTAAGGAAAGCGTTTTCCAAAGGCCGGTTACGACGATGGGAGCCATCCTTCCCCCGGCAATCGCAGCCCTTGGCTCTCCTTTCACAACTCTCCTGGCCAGGTCCCCACCTTCCACATACCAGGGTGCAATGTCCCACCCATTCCTCACTCTTCATCACTCCTCTGGGGCCCTGCCTCTCCTGCTGCCTCCTTGGTCCACAGACAGAGCTGGGGATAAGCAGGAGGGTCTCCAGGGGTGTCTGCAGCTGTCCTGTGAGGGATGGAGAGGGGCAGAAGGGTGCAGCCATGATGTGGCTTGCCTCAGCCCTACTTCTCTCGCAGCAGAGATGGGCTCCAGTACTGGTGTGGCCAGGGTGACTCGTGGCAGCACCAGCAGTGCATTGGTACCTATGGGTAGCAAATACATTGCAGAATCACAGAATCGTTGGGGTTGTAAGGGACCTCTGGAGATCATCTGGTCCACCCCTTGCCAAGGCAGGGCCACCCAGAGCAGGTGACACAGGAACGTGTCCAGGTGGCCCTGAATGTCTCCAGAGAGGGAGACTCCACAACCGCCCTGGCACCTGTCCCAGTGCTCTGCCACCCTCAACATAAATAAGTTCTTCCTCGTGTTGAGGTGAAACTTCTTCTGTTTTAGTTTATGTCCATTGCTCCTTCTCCTGTCACTGGGCACCACTGAAACGAGTCTGGCACCATCCTCCCGGCACCAAACCCCCACCTGCTAAAATCTGTGCAATAACAACCTTTCCCTTCCCATCCCCACCCCTCCCTGCGTTACCCCTTCATACGTGGGAAGCTCCATGTAACCACACATGGCTATTAAACACAACTGCATTAGTTATCTTGTTGTTAGTGGTATTCTGGGATGTCATTTAGCGGACAAATGATCATTACAGTACGATTTTCACCTAGTCATTCTGAGAAACGATCAGCTGGATCAGACCAGAAAGCACCTCGCCAGGAGGTGGATGCTCGGGGGGCAGCTGGCTCTGCCGGAGGAGCAGAGGAGGGTACAGCCAAGCTGCTCTGCTACTCCTTCTCATTTCTGCTGACAAAGGTGAGGAGGTCCATGGCTGTGACCACACTGAACACCATCTGCTTCATGAAGGAGCTGCCGTTCCCATTGACTGCAAGCACAGAAAACGCCAGTTTAGTGGAAATACAACCAGAAGAACCCCCCACCCAGCTGTGCAGGGGCTGCTGTTTGTTTATGAAACAAAAACCTCAATGGAACTGCAGCTGTCTCTGCTCTGCCTCAACAGGAAACACTGATGCAGCCTCGGTCAGGTCACATCAGGGAGGTTTTAGCTGCGAATAATGCACCTTTTACCAGAGCAGGAAGCTTAATTCCCCAGCTGTTTTTATCCAACCTCTGTTGCAGTCTTGCTTCAGTCTTCTCAAAGCTTTTCAGGCCAAACTAATGAGACTCTAAGAGCAGCACCGAGGCGCTTTCTACTCTGCTCTCATAATGTCCTGCACCACCATTAATGAAACAGCATTGCAAGAATTGCTTTAGCTATCTGATAAATGTTTTCTTAAATAAAACAGAACTAGCCACCAGAGCCCAAACACGAGATAAAATGCAGGCTCTGAAGGTGTGGGGATAAGGTAATAAATAAGGGGGTAACTACGACAGCATTAAAACAGCAGCTCTGGAAAAGCAAATGGGTGTTGTCTGAAAACCAGAACAAGAGGCACTGCGTGCAGCTGGCAGATGTTTTTCAGTGGGTACCATTTAATTTGTGTTGAAATGTGATGCAAAACAGATCTTCACTATTTTGTGACAACAAAGCTGAGAAAGGAGATTCTGCCCAGCATTATTCTCAGTGAGTGAACTGAAAATGTGCATCAAAGGCAGCTTTGAATGATGGACTTTTGCTCACAGCATTTTGCGGGAACATGTCTAGACTTGTAAGCCAGCTTTAGAGCCGGCTTTGGGGCAGCAGGCTACAGAGAAGGAAGCAAAGGGGTTGGGGTGTTTGCATGTGGTTGGTTTCAGAGACCCTGGGTTCAACAGGCAGCCCTTTGCTGGCAGTCAACACAGCACAATATTGTAGGAATGCTCTGCATGTAGCATGTGTAATCCCATAAAATTAGTACAGTTACACCCTTCAGCCCTAATTTAGAAGACCTAAGCATGAGTCTTCTGACTGCTTTTTCATGCTGTTAACATTTTAAACAAAGCAACTCCCCTGAGATAAGGCCAGATTTGTACTTCTAGAGGTTTTACAGTATAATTGCCCTGGAAGGGTGTGTTAGGTCAGATTTGCAGAACAGCACCTGCCACCGTATCAGTTGTGGTCAGAGGAGCAGCAAGGTGTGATCCCTCTGTCAGGGATGTGTCAGCAACCCTCATGCGGTCCCACTGCATGTGACTACTGAGTGGTTTGCTTCACAGAGGAGGGGGTGGCTGTACAGTGGATCGAGAATAAACCAAAGCTGCTGGTACAGCTGCTTTATTGGACTGGTCTAGTGGTGCTCCTGAATTGGCAGAGCATCCCTACATCCAGCTGTGGTCCAGGTAAGGCTCACACACAGATGTACCCATCAGTGTGTGTTGTGCCTCTTGAGCCATGTGCCTCTGATGCAGGGCTTGCTCACGGTCCAACACATTTGTTTTCATCTTTCTCAACTTACCCTGGACCTCCAGGGTAGGTGTCTGATAGCACCAGCATCAGATAGCACCCTAAGTTCCCTCAGCATATCTAATTACCTAGGCTCCTTTGGGCACACAGGCATAAGGATGTCTCTTGGCTGCATCTCTAAGGGAACAGGGAACAGGGGTGTTCAGAAGATGGTACAGCCTCTGGGCATGCACAGAGGAAGGTCTTTAAGCAATGGGATGCAGACTGTATAGTTTGTTTCCTTGCACTTAGATGCCTGAATTCCACCTAAGTTCTATCGAATGTGCACAAATTCTCCTTTCATAGAATCATGGAATCACAGGCTGGTTTGGGTTGGAAGGGACCTTAAAGATCATCCAGTTCCAACCTTTCTGCCATGGGCAGGAGCACCTTCCACTAGAGCAGGTTGCTCGAAGCCCCATCCAACCTGGCCTTGGACACTGCCAGGGAGGGGGCAGCCACAGCTTCTCTGGGCAACCTATGCCAGTGCCTCACCACCCTCCTAGTAAAGAATTTCTTCCTAATGTCCAGTCTAAATCTATCTTCAATTTAAAACCATTCCCCCCCTTGTCCTACCACTATATGCCCTTGTAAAAAGGCCTTCTCCAGATTTCTTGTAGGCCTCCTTTCAGCCATGCCTTGAATACTAAGCCTGCAGAGATCTCTCATTTCCCTTGTTTCCTCTGTTGCTCACAACCAGTGAGGCAGTGATTTGAATTCACGGCCAAAAGGCTAAACAAGAACTAGAGGCCTGAGCCTACAGCTGTGCAGCAAATGCACTGCACCTGAAGGTGCTACTTACAGTACACCTCGGCTGTCAGAGGGGACCAAATGAAATCCCTTAATGAGTACTTCTCATCCCCAGAAGTGGATGTCTATGGGAAACCGTGAGATGAAGGGAGGGGATTGAAATGGTGGGTGCTTCAGCATCACCCCTGCATGGAGAGGACAACACAGCTCCCACGGCCAGGATCTGGGAAGGGCTCCAGCAGGATGCACATCCTGGTGCTAGTCCTGGACTCCTTTGATTAAGGCTTCCCTTCTCTCCCCTCATCTCTGTGGTGTCAGGAAAGGAAATGGGTGAATAGTTGGCAGTTCCAGGGCTTTGCAGAGCCAAAGGGCAGAAATCTTTGCTGTAAGGGCTTATACCTACCAAGCTCAGTTTGAGAATTTGCCTTTCCCCTCTCAGGCATTTATGCAAAGCCCACACAGTGCTGCTGAAGATACCTACACTGCATTTGCTCGTGTACAACAATAGCAAAGTGGTCGTTCTCCAGGATGCGGGAAAGCTTGCCGAGGCTGTCCTCCAGGCCAATCTGAACAGGACAGAAAGAGACATTTTAAGCTTCACTTCACATTTAAAGGGCAGTGGTAGCAGAGCCTCTTTCCTGCCTCTAAGCCATGAGCTGCCAACGTGCCATGCAGCTGGACCAAGATCAGGTGTACCTCACCCACTCACACTGTTATGCGGAGATGGGAGGGCATGCCGGCCACCTGCAGACCAGGCTTTTCTGTAGAATCAACTAGGTTGGAGAAGACCTTTAAGATCATCAAGTCCAACCTTTAAACCTCCCCCCAGCTCAAAGGGCCTCTGTGGGCTAGCATGAGGAGATGGCTCCAGCTCCCCTAAAACACCATCCTTTTACCTCACTCCCTCTCTGGACCACTGATGGACATCCAACCCAGGCATCTCTTTCCTGCACACCCACCAGGGCCCGTGCCTGTTGCCCCAGCCCTGCTGAGCCCTGGCAATGCCTGGGCTCTGATTTCAGAGGGTGCTGAATCCCCAGCTGGACAAAATCCTCTGACAGTGTAAGACTGGAGGTGGACATTCACATGCTTTGTTCCTGGTGTGAAAACTCCCATGTCTGAACCCTACAGGCTCAGCAGCATTTTTGCTGCTGCCTGTCCTTACTCTCATCTCCATGATGTTGCCAACACCCTCCCACCTCTCTTCTTTCACCTCTCTGTTTTTTCATTGCCCTCCTCTCCCAGCTCCTGTCACACCTCAGGGTGGTCTCGCTTCTCTCCCCATGTCCCCATCCCTGGGCAGCAGATGCCACCAGGCACAGCAGTACCTTTGAGAACTGGTCGTGGATGACCTTCGTAACGGAGTCTGAGAACTGCGCGTTTCCACTCAGCACTGAGGTAAGGGTGTTGCTGAGGGTCACCATTCCCAAAATAAGCCTGTAAGGGAACAGGGAGTTTTCCAAAAGGTCAGGGCTGAGACAGAGCACATGATTTATGTGGGGGCTGAACGGCTCCCCTCAAAGTCAGTGACTAAATCACTGCTGCTGTCAACGGGAGGCACCAACTTTTTCCTCATCTTAGTGGGACAGGAGGATTCTTGTCCTCCCCAAGCTGTTGGTATAAGAGTGGTTAAAGTCTGCTGTTGCAGAGCAGGACTTAGCAGATGGGAGAAGGAAAGCTTGCAGTCTCTCCAGTTGCTTATTTGCGTGGGTTTTCCACCTAGCCCTCACCTCTCTTCTGGCCTCCCTTTGCACTGATCCAACCTCTGCTGAGTCTGGTGGGCACTGGATTTGGTTTTGACTTTAACTGGCTCATTTACAGAGACACACGCATCACAGAGTCCAGTGCAAGAGCCCCATCATGGGATCAGCAAAGGCACTTTCTCTTTAGCTTCCTTGTGGCTGCTTTTCCTATGTGAATGGCCATCTTTGTAAAGAGTAAAAATAGTTACCCTGATTCAGCAACAACAGGAGCTTGATCATATCCCTTCTCCTGGAGGATCTCAATTGCTTTTTGACAGCTGACTTCAGGGAGGAGAATGAGAGGGGCCGAGAGATTCAGTTTCTGCACCTTGATGTTCCACCACCTGTTGAAAGACAAATGGCAGCACCAAGCTGTTACCCTCTGCTGCATGGCTGTGGGCCTTGCTCAGCGAGGCAAGGCCAGCAGAGATGAGACCAGCCACACAGAGACATTCTGCCTGCCTGCAAGGATCATCCCACTTCTATCCCCAAAGCAGTGATGCTACAAGTCTGCCATGGCCAGGTCTTGTTGAAGCCAAGCCCAGTGTTCATACAGCTCCAGAGGCAGGGCTGAGGCCAGCAGCTGGCAAAGTGTGGAGCTGTCCTGAATCCAAGGAAGTTACTGAGGGCTTTGCTCCAAGCTCATGAGTGGTGAGGACTATCAGTTTTACTTCTTTGGTCTGCATCTTTGGTCCTCAAAATGCAGCATCTGCAGGTCCTCCAGGAGACAGCCTGGCAGAGATGCTTGTGTGATTTATACAGGACAAATTACGTTTGTTTGCTGGGGACCACAGGCAACTCCCAACTCATCTCAGCCCTTCATCCTTGCTAGAGGCTGGAAGAGAAATTCTAAACAGGCACAAGAGGCCTTGGAAATGTATTGAGGTTTTAGGAAATATTTTGCAATAACCCCTGGTTGTAGTACCCTACAGGAGCAGGTGACATCAGCAATACCTGCTGTCTTCAAAGTGAGACTAGGCACTTTCTAAACAACTGGCATATGCCCGGCCACATGTCAACTGGCATCAGCCCAGCTGCATGTCAGTTGGCATCAGCAGTGTGATTCCCTCCCTTGAAGGGGCTCTTTCTCCATGGCATCCAAGAGACAGCTCAGTTGCTCATCTCTGCTGGCCTGAAGCTCTGGAAAGTGAAAATGTACTGTTCCCTGCCTGAAAAGACCTTCAGAGCTGTTTGAAAGGGTGCTTGCTACAGGAGAGAGCCGTCTCCCCACCAGCCCCATGTTCCTTGGAACACAGGAGGTTGTGAGTGGAGCTAAACGTGCCCCTCAACTCAACTGTTCTGCTCAGCAGGGCTTAGGTGGTCTGGACAATGACTGCCATGTGGGAGCAGATCAGCAACTTCAGGATGTAAACATCTCCTTCATAGACTTTGATTGCAGAACAGGGGTTTCTGATCCCTCAGAAGAGGGATCCAGCAGGTTTTCTAAATACTAACAGATAATGCTTTCCTTTGAAGTTGTTAATTTCCAGGCACAGTTTGTACCGCTGGAAGCTGTCTTACCAAGGCTTGTGCTCCTGGGCGTCGTTTAGGAAACCGTTTTTTATCATCCACTTATCATTCAGAAATTTGGACCTAGAAATGACCAACAAAGAGCGAGTCTGTGAGCCCTCCAGAAGAAGTCGTGCTTTGTTTCATGCACTAGACCGCAGCACTGCCCCGGGGCTCCCATGATTTTTGCAGCTGGCTGCTCTTAGCCCCTTTTAAGGTCAGCGGGAGCTGCGGGTGCTCAGTAACTCCTGTAAGCATGTCAGCTATTTGCCTTCCTAACTTTAGGCATGCAAGTTCAAAAACCATCGCTTGACTCATTCCTGCTCCGTGCAGTCAGTCAGTGACAAGAGGAAATAAAACCCAAGCATCCCAAGACCCAGCCCGTGGTGCTTGCCACAGCAGTATGCTATTTATCCCTGTCGTTTGCTTTGTTTTTCCTATGAGTTACTCCAGGGGGACTCCCATCTCTGGGCTCACACTGGATGCCATGCAATGAGAGGTACTGGTGTGTACTCCAGCAACCCATGCCACCAGGGCTCAGCAGTGTCCCTGAAGGGCCCCACGGACCCAAGCCATGGCGTATGCAGAGTTGGGGAGAAGGCTGTGGAAGCTCCCACCCAACACCAGAAAGCAGGTGAGGAAGCATGAAACTCACATGTAGTTCCTGACAGAGTCGGGCAGGATGACAACACAGCGCTGACCTTCCTTCAGGTCCTTGGCTGCCTGCACAGCAACAGACATGGCACTGCCCGAGCTGCCTCCTGGGTGGGTACCAAGAAGAGAGAGACAAGCATCAGGGCTGCCCAGGGTGTAGGACCACAGTTCCAGTGCATGGGGCACGGCACTGCCATGGCTAATGGCACACAGGCATCCAAGAAAAACAATAGCAGAGGTGGCACCTCCTACACCAGGCTCAAGACACTGGGAATAGGAGAACAATCAGCCCCACAGCCCCGTAGGCTTTAGGATCAGGAACAAGGGATATGTTCATATGATGGCTCTTGGCAATCGGCATTTGTGGCAGTGTTAAGAGTCATCTTATGAACTTCATGAACCATTTCTTGTGGTGAGTCTGTGGGCAGGCCAAGGTCTGAAAGGTTCAACAGAGGGACATTCTGCTGCCCACACCGTACCCTTCCTTTGGGTGATGAAAAGACCACACCAAACCTAGACCTTCTAACGGACATATCTGGCAATCAAAGATTGGCTTTAAATGCATTGTAAAGACTGAAAAAAATCCATAAACATTACACTCGTGCTTAGAATACCAAGCCAACGTGATGGAAGACTTGAATGCTTCCTGTGCCTGTGTGCACACATGTGGTTTGCTGCACGTAAGGAAAGCAGGTCCCTGCTTTACAGAGGCAATTCTTCCACCAGTAGTTCAAGCACTGGAAGTCAAACACATTCCACTATCTGTGTGCCAATTACACACTGCATTCAAGGCAGCACGTATTTTACAGCAGGTTAATTAGCACATTTTTCAAACAAATGGGGAAAGGCCCTAAAAAATGCAGTTCAGGGAACATGGAGCTATTCACAAATTATAGTTGGGGTCAGTAAGTGGTTTCTGGTGAAACACAGTGACTCTGTGCCTGCTGGGTTAAATCAACATTTAAGTGTTTCATTACAAATGGCCTGATCTTTTCCAAAACTCCCTGGATGTGAGTACTCAGGGCTTTTATCAGCTGTAACTATAAGCCTACGTGTTGCCTGATCCTGGATGGGAACCTATGGCTAGCTGCTCGGTGGCAGGGAACGCTGGCTAAAACCCTGATGCTCTGTGGGGGCTCTTAGGGCACAGGCAGGGTTTGTTTGAGGGCATCCTTTCATTTTGGAAAGCTGGTGGGATCACTTACAGGTTGTTGGCACAGGGAGAAATGCTCAGTAAGAACATCTTACACTTTCTTTACTTCCAAGCTTTCCTTGGTCCAAACCTGGCACCTCCTGTGTGTGTGGCAATGGTTCAACAAGTGTCCTGCCTCACAGAGTTGTCAGTGGAGCAACAGTTCTAGCCCACCTGTCCTGCCCCGAGCCCCATTAATCCTCTCTTCAGCCCTTGTAACACTACACCACACGGGGTTAGGCCTGAAGATCCAGTTCCATGTGCAGAAGTGCCCCGGTAAGAGGAGAGTTATTGCTTCTATAATTACTGTGGCTGATGAGTCAGATCCCAGACCAAAGGCACACTGCCATACCTCTGCAGTCAACACAGCCCTACACACCAGCTCAGGGTGCAGCCACCCGGCAGGCACGAAATGCAGAAAGCACCCACACCAAAGCGTTTTGGTTCCAAAAGGAAGAGATTCAGAAAATGTGTTAAGAGAAGGAGGTGCTGTTGGTGCTTACCACACAATAGTCCCTCTTCCCTGATCAGCCTGCGCGACATGAGCAACGAGTCTCTGTCATTGCATTTATACCACTGATCAACCACCTGAAGAGAAAAGCAAGAAGGTTGGGTCTTGGTAGTGTTATTTCAGGCTGTCCCTACCCTCTGAGGTATTCCATGGTGCTGATGCCTACGTCTGGCAGCTTTGAGCTGCTTTCTATACTTGTTGAAAGCAAATACATTTGTCAGGACATCCTTGGCCTGCAGGGCATGCCTTTGCTTTGCAGGCAACCACTCTAGCCTGTCTAGCCAGCACCCTTTCCTTGGGGAGTTAGGGATGTCTGAAAGGTCCAGAATCAGGGTGCTGTAGAGGGAGTGATGTCCATGATGCCCTAGGCTGTGCTACACTAAGGGTCAATATTTGCAATGCAAAATCAGACCCAACTACAAAAAGAGTTGGAGGTTATTACAGGTCCCAGTTCTAAGGCCATGTGTCAACAACAGAGATGTAGTTAGCACAACATCTGAAAGCAGAAAGAATCTGAGGTCTGAGGCTGTGGGGGACCTTTCTAAGAACGAGGATGGGGGATCACAAGCAGCTTGAGTTAGGGCTTTAAAGCTCTGTACCTGGTGCCACAGATACACTGAGAAGAAACTTGACAAGAAGCAGAATGACATTCACAGTCTGTTGTGTTATATGGCTTGGTCTTGTCTTCCAGCCCATAAATGGTGCAAGGTTTCTGCTGTGTGCATGTGGTGCTTGTGACAGTGATGGCTCAGGAAATGCTAGGGTGATGAAGAGCAGCCTTAGCCCTGACCTCTTTGGTGTGATCACAGTGAAAGAGGCTGCTGAGAAGGCTGGTACTGTGACATATTCCTCATTTGCGCCTGTATTTACCTTTTCATTGTAGCTCAGTCACGAACAGATTTACTCAGGTGCTTTAGTGCTGGGGTTCCAGTCCCCCCACAACAGCTTGTTCTGCACTGGGAAGGCACACAAGTAGCCTTAGATACAACTGGGTGCCAGAGCTGGCTACCTCTGACCTTGGGGGTAGGCTGGATGCAAAGCCAAAGATGGGACAGAGGCCTTTCATCACATGGCTACTTACTGATCTGTCAAGGACAGTAGGGATAAAGTCATGCCCAATGCCCTCCACTTCGATGTTTGTGGTGTTTGTTGTGTTCATCTCGCTGGGCAGAGCGACGATGGAGCCTTCAGGATCCACACCAATGACCTTTGACGGAGGGGAGTTTTGTTAAACCACTCACAGGAAAAATTACCCACAGCCTTATCAGCAATGTTTTCCTTCCCATAACTGCCGTTCCACTGGCAGCAAGGAGAGCTTACAGGATAAAAGGACACTGTTTTGCATTGACCTAGATATCTATTTAAATAGATCCTAGGTAGTGTTCAGCTGCTGAAGTGACTGGTGGCTTAAAATGTTATCACTCTTAAGGTGTTTGTCCTCACCTCTTTGGCAGTGACTGCTGCTTCCAAAGCCCAACCCTTAGGATAGTGCGAGTGCTCTTTAATCTGCTGCAGTGCCAGATAGCTCAAACCTCTGGAAACCCGTGGCTACAAAATCCTTTCTGGATCTAGTTGTGCTGGCTGCCAGTGACACCTCCTTGGTTGCTTATAGCTTTACATCTGTGCTGAGATCTCCTCCCTCAGCACAGCTGAGACTGAGACAGTGAAAGCTGTCAGTGATGTAACCTCATCCCCAGCTCCTCCAGCAGCTGGGTGCACACTATCTCAACTTGCCTCTGGTGAATGGGGTACCTCTCACACACTGGCTACACAGAGGGGCAGTAACTGTCAACCCTCCAGTCTGCTTTGAGTCACAGACTCTGCAGAATGAGCATCTATGACTGGTGTCAACCATAGAGCAGGGAGGCTTTTGCAATGGCAAATTGCTTCCAACAAAAGTCAAGCTTGCTGTGGAAGAACACATAAGTGAAGACCACAACCGCTAGCTCAGGTGGGCCGTGGGGTTAGGTTTGATCCAATCACAGGCAGGAAAACCCAGGGAGACACAGCTCCCAGCAGGCAGCCCTGCCATGCAGCTTACCTTGCATTCTGGGCATTTCTCCTTCAGCTTCCTGGCGATGCCAGTGATGGTGCCTCCTGTGCCAGACCCAACCACCACCATGTGGACCTTGCCTGCGGGTCGGGGAAGAGAGAAGCTTGCAGGGGCTCAGCACGGCCTCCAGCATGGTATTCCCTCTATTCAGGACCCTGCACAGAGGCAGAGCCCGTGCCCCTCAGCTGCTAGAACCCCATGTGTTCTAGGATAGGCAACAGTCATGCTAGTGGTCAAAGCATGGTCCTGTGCAGAAGCTCAGAAGAGCTTGCAGGGCAGGAGGCTGAAGGTGACCTCCAGATCTCCCACTGGTCTTCATGATTTCTGTGTCTTTGTTGTCCACTGGCTTAAGGGGGGTGGAGTATCTCAGTACTCCCAGCCCTTTCAAACCACACCACATTGAAGCAAAGCATCTACATTAATAACAACACGTATCAATAACAGGCACTACTTTTCTGCTAGTGTTAGCATCCACAGCAGAGAGATGGCAGAGCTCTGCCTTGGCACCTGTGTTGGTAGGGTGTAGCCCCACTGGCATCAGTGAAATTGTACTGATTTAAGATTGGTAGGAGCAGAATCAGAGACTTGTGCTTCACCTGCATTGGGAAAAGGACTTGTAATTCACTACTGCTGGCAGCCAGCAGGAGCACATTTCAATGTGCAGAAGGGGAGGCTGGGACTCCTTTGTTCCTGTTGCTACCCAACTGCTTTAGTGTTATGATAACTGCTCTCCGGTTAAAACCCTTGAGTCCTGTTTACATTCTGCAGTGCTCCCAGTACTGGCAATAAATTTTACTCCTATCTGCATAGACATGGGCTCCTTCAATCTCCACCAGCTATCGCATCAAACATCATTAGCCTGTGAAGTTTCAGTCTGTTTTGGTTTGCAGATGAGTGTGCTGGATCCGATGCAGCCCCCCATGCCCTGATGGATTCATGTTCCCCTGTGAGGCCTCTTGGGCCATCTTGTGTTTGCAGCTGACCGGTTGCAGAGATTCTGTAGCCACAAAGAGACTGGTTCTTCCTCCTTGGGAACAGCCTGAATTCGTCTGGTCTCCTCCCTCAGGGTTGTGAAATGGGAGCCCATAGCAGGGAAGCCCTGCAGGCTCAAGTGTATCTGCAGTGGGCTATGAGAAGTTGCACATGGGTATTCCTGAGGGTGCCTTCACCTACAGAGGCCCTTTTGGCTGTTTCTGGACATTTGGGTCAATAAATGATGTAAAATAAGCCTCTCCAGGGGGCTATAGCCTTCTGCACATCCCCAGCACGTACAACGTACAAACAACAGCACAGACCGTACCTTCACACTGCTCCAGGATCTCCTCAGCCGTGGTGTCGTAATGAGCCAGGGGGTTGCTTGGATTTCGGTACTGTTTATTTCAACAGAGAACAGTGTGCGTTACTGTGGTGTGAAGCGCAGGTCACATACCAAACTAGCAATAGCTCCTGACCAGCTTTGCCCAAAGCATGCGGCTGCCCCCTCCTCTCCCTGGCAGGGGGTGAACTGCAGCCTGGCCAGGCCACGTCACAGGTGTTGCTCCTGGTTGTCACTCCGAGACAGATCTCCAAGGACACTTGGGATTTGCCCACACTGGAAGATTAAATGTGCCCCCAAACACTCACTCTGGGACCCGTGGTGCTTATTCAGTGGGGCTGTTCCAGGTTCTGTGGGCTCTGGTGCCTTTGTCATGGCCCTAGCTTAGACTTCTGTCTATTGCTTAGACAGAAGCATTTTAACCTTTTCTGCTGCCTTGAAAAAGTTGAAAACACAGCCCCACAACACTGCTAAAAAAACTTGGGGGGAAAAAACCATCCCTGCTCCAAAGCCATATTGGAAAACTTTCTTTCATACATGCATATGCAGTTTTGAGAGCTGCTTTGTCATGTAGAGGCGTTTGTGGTTGGCAGTGCATCACATTAGGTGGCTGGGAGCTGTGGGGCAGTGTGGCTGTCCTACCTGTACAGAGGGATTTACCACAGGGGTACACAGGCACAGCACTGGAATGTGTGCAGCCTCATGTTCACACCCGTAGAGCAGGCTGCTTCTGAACAGTGTGTTCAGACACTGAGCTCCCTTTTGCTTAAAAGGAAGGAGCTTCCCTGACTCTTTTTGCCCTACAGGAGATCCTTTCTTGCTCTGGGAATGCCTTCCCGCAGCGAGGACAGACTGAAAGCAGAAGTGCCGTCTTGTATGAGACCCAGCACTGCAGGAACTGACTTTTCTTAGGTCAAAGTTAAATTGGAAGCAAAGTAAACCTGAAGGAGTCTCTGAAGTGTGCAGGAAAACCCAGCCTTACCCACATCCAGGCACTGGTAGAAGTACTACAGGTTTGGAAGGGTCCCTTACTTTGTTTCTGCCACCCCATGCTTTACAATTACATTTCAAACACCATAAAACACTGGCAAAATCTTCTCTGCTGCCAGTTTGAATGAAGTCCCCAAACAGAGGCACACTTGTAGGAGCACATGCTGTAAGCCATGTTTGGAAAGAGAGCCAGTGGAGGAATGTCATTTACCTGGTCCAGGATGTGAGAGTTTGGGATTTCACTTTTCAACTTCCAGGCCACACGAATGTTAGACTCTGGAGCATCGAAGCTGGTGCATGGGGTCCTCACAATTTCAACACCCAGTGCCTTCAGAATATCAACCTTTGGGAGGGAAGAAAGCAGATGTAACAGAGCTGATCCCATATAGAGGCAGTAATCTGAACCTGCGGACTCATGGCAGCACTGGATGCCAGAGGAGCTTTGCGTGCAAGAGGTGTTTAGCATTTGGAGATACGATGTCCAGTTCTCAGTTATACTATCTCTGACATCCTCACGGCAGCCAGGGACTGCTGCCTAAAGCTGGCACAGATATCAAGCCTGGCTTTGTGCCCTGTCCTACTCAGAGGGCAGGCTGGAAATGGCAGAGGTGGGTTAACACTGTGCCGCTCCTTGGTAGAAGGAACCAGGATAGGAAACAGTGTCTCCTATGTGCTGTGGTCTGAGCCCTTGCATGCAAGGAGGAGGAGGTCTTAAAGTTGTCTTTGCCCCAAATCCCTCTGTCTGCTCACCAAGAACAGGGAAGGAGCAACTACAAATCATCCCCAGGGTATTAATCCACTGGGACTGCAGCTGCTGGGGAGAAGTGGTCAAAAGAGAAGGATGGGTAAGTGCTGGGGCACCTGGAGATGAAGCCCATGGCAGCTGGAGGTGGCATCTGATCCAGACTGAGCTTAAGTGAGATTGAAAGGAGGGCGGTGCTTTGGAGAAAGGCTCAGTTTTGAGCTAAGGCAGGGTCTGGGTCTGGCTTCACTGGCAGGAGTTCAGCTGAGCAGCTTGTGAGAGTTCTGGCTCCCCATGGCGGGTGTTTCTGCCATCTCCAGGAAAGCAGTTTCACCCGATCAGCAGCTCTCATGCAAGTGACTTCCCTTCCACCATCTCGAGAAAGCAGCTCAGACAACCAGCGGTGTCTCCAGGTTTCAGAAAACCACAGAAACACAGAGACCAAGGGACACACCAGATGTCAGAGGGGAGGTCAGCAGGACCTGCCTGCCTCTCCTCCTCACCATCCAGCCCTTGCCCTCACAGACAGCAGATACTGCTTCGTGTCTGCAGCCAGACGTGGTGTTTGGCTAAGACATGACTACATGCACCAGATAATCAGCCAGGCCATCACAGTGTGCTTTTTTTTGCCCTCAAGAGGAAATCTTCTGAGTAACTACAGAGCTATGTCAGTGTGTGCAGTAAGGCTCGTTACCCTTTAAAGGAGAGAGTACTCCAACTCTAGAGAGGGAGAGGCTGAGAGAGACAGGGCAGAAGATGTTCCCTGGCTGCAGGGTAATACCATACAGAGCTCTGACCTTCTCCGTGCTCATCTTCTCCGGCAGGACAATGATGCAGCGGTAACCTTTCACTGCAGCCACCATTGCCAGCCCGATTCCTAGGTGGTGGGGAGAAAAGGGAAAGGTTGACAACAGCATTTGGCAAGGCTAACTGACATTCATTGCTGCTTATATGTTCATCTCTGCTGCCAGTGAACATAACCTAGGTATGTTCCCTGATGAACTATAAGCAAAGGCATCCTTCATGAGCCTCTCAGCATGTGCCAGCACTGCTAGGGAGCATGGGTGAATGTGGAACAAGCAGGCTGAGCTGCAGCATCACTCCTGCTCACGGAGGTCTATTAGAGTGGCACAGAGAGAATGGCAAAGCTGGGGAGAGCTTTCCTGCAACGCCCCTAGAGGCTCAGGCCTCTTCCTCTGTTTTCCAAAACACAGGAATGCCTTTCCCCCTTCCCCAGATGCCCTCGGCTGGGACACACACACACAAAGCTGCACATTTCACCCCATGGTGAGCAGGCGAAGGGGACCGCTGCTTCAGTTTCACTGTGGGTGATGGATGGAGCCAGCTGCTCCCCACACAGAGCAGGAAGGTGAGGCTGGAGGAGTGCGTCCCTGTGGGAGGCTGTAGGGGACATGGTGCAACCCTGCCTGCCCTGGCTGGGCAGGAAGCCACCAGGGAACAGCTCTGGGACACACAGGTCTCCTCAACCCATAGCTGGGGGTGGCTAGGGCAAGACGGGCCAGTAAGGAACAAAATGGCTATAGATGAACCCTGTTCTGCATGGCTAGTGAGCAGGAGGTGGGGAGTGCAGAGAGGGACATGGTCTCCACTCTGTCCAGAGCACCTTGACTGCCTCCACTGGGCATTTTTGCAGGAAAGCATGCTGTGCGCATACATGTCCCCACCATGGTGAGGGTGCTGGTGCAGCAGAGACATGGACACTTGCACCAATGGTCCTGCACAGGCTACAGAATAGAGGGGAGGCTCCTCTGTTGTCCCCCTTCATTTTGCACCCCACCATAATCTGGTGCCTGAATAGGATGGCAGTGAAACAATCCGGATGATTTATCTTCCAGCCCATCAGGGAAACACTCCCTGGGAACCTCTGGGTATTCAAGAGCTTCCCAGCCTGAAAACACCCAGGGTTGCCTGAGCTCCTTCAGCTCCTGAGGCTGTTTGCCTTGCCACAGGTAGCCTGAGTGTGCTTGCGAATTTCAGCAGCGAGGCACCTCAGCACCCCAGGATGCCCATGGCCACACTGAGGGGCTCCAAGCTGACCATGTAACTCCAAGTGCAACACCTCTTTGAGTACCTGCCCCTCTGACATGCCACCCTGCTGGGTACTCAGTTGTTGGGAGCATCCCTGTTGTTCCCACCTGTGTTTCCTGAAGTGGGTTCGATGAGTGTGTCTCCTGGTTTAATAATCCCAGCTCGCTCTGCATCTTCCACCATCCTCAGGCCGATGCGGTCCTTTATGCTGCCCCCCGGATTGAAGTACTCACATTTTGCCACTGGAAATGAAAGGGCAGGCTCCATCAGGGACAAGCTGCAGCTGGGAGCACCAGCTACTTGCTCCCCCAGCCCTTGCTGCAGTCATTTGAAGATACCCATTCCTCCCCTGCAGGATGATCCTTTGCACAGGTGAGCACATCCACCACCTGCTTACAGGGTGCCACAGCTTGTTGTAGCATTACCCACCATTAGATAACCCACTATGGGATGCTAAAAGTCCATCTTTCCCCTACATTTCATATACCTGCAGCACTCTGAAGGCAGGAGGCAGTGCTAGTAAGTCTAGGATGGGTTTAAAATCAGCTGGACATAAGGTGGTTACTCTGAGCACGGTATTATCAGGGTTAATGGTAATGTTTCAGGGTCTTTCTTGGGGCATGGCAAAAGAGTTGCCCTTCTGTAAGGATGATCTGTATCCCTGAATGGGGGGCCATAAAGAAAAACAGAACAGAAAGAGCACCTTTAAGTGTCAGCCAGAATTATAACTTCCACTAAGCTACCAACAAGAAAGGGAGACTTGCCAAGGCACACTCAAACCACAAGGCACACCTTACCACACACAATTCAGGCCCCACAGGTGCCTATTCAGGCACCACAGATGGTGCTTGGGGCAGGGCTTTTCTTACCAAGGTTTTGATGAGCATCTACATCTGAATGGGTGATGTTTTACAGACAACAGGTAGAAATGGGTACCTTTTTTTGTGTCATTCACTTCATCCTAGCAGAGACAGCTACTTGAGGCTGAGAAATTAACCCAATACCTGAATGGGGATAAAACCCCTTGTGCTCATCGTTACATGTAATAATGCAAAGTGCCAGAACTCCAGCTGTACAGAGGGATCCCTGGAGGCACAGGGATTACCAGGCAATTACCTCCAACCGTAACTGCTCCCTCGATGAGGCAGTGCTGCATTCGTGTGTTTGCTTGGTCAGAGGCTCTGTGCTGACCTGCAGCTCAGGGAGGACCATGCAGCTGCTCTGCCTGCCCTGCGCTCCTTCCCCTCCTGCGCCAGCGGAGGGAGACACCGTCCCAGCAAACGGGGTCTCCCTGGCTGCCCGGCTGCTGTTGGCACCAAGTCTTCCCATGTCCCTAAGGCGACATCCTCCAAGGGACAGACTGCTCCAGAGGTGGGACCAAACACTGCAGACCTATCCTCCTGCCTCCACCACCTCTGTTCCACGGTCCCCTAACATTCCCTGAGGTCTCATTCTGGGAAGCGAGAGGTGGTACAATGGGGAGGTTGCAGGGTTATGGGCCCGAAGATCCCAGAACCTGAGAGAGGATCTGGTCAAAGAGCACAACACGCTTCACACAGCCATGTGCCCGGTGGCAATGGGCTGGTGTGTGGATTCCCAGCTGCCAAACAGGACTGCAAAGTCCTACTGTGCAATTTTACCGCGAGCACTCATCAAATCACTCCTTCACACCCAGCTATGCAATGCTCATGAATCTGACTGCCTCCGAAACATCTCTTTCTGCCTAATTTGTCTGAAATTATTTAATAGCATTAAAAGTTGTAGGAAAGGAGACTGAGAGGTCTGTATGCACAAAGAGAGCCTAATCTTACTCTCCTGATGTCTGAAAGCAACCAGGTTAAAACGAGCTCCTACATGATATAGCACCAGCGTTGTGCTAACATCCCAACGCAGGGAAGACTTGGGTCCTGCTGGAAAACCTGCCCTTGCAACCAGCCCCTTGGCTGCACTGTGGGAAGGCCCCCAAGGGAAGCTGTCACTGCTCCACAGGCAGAGATGCAGCAGATGGCAGCGCCTGGCCCAGCTCCAGCTGACCTGGTGGAGATGATGCCACAGCAGAGCAGTGTCCCTGCTGCATGGGAGCTCAGTCTGGCAGCCAGGGGCTATGCTGGTGTGTGTCCAGGCAACCTGAGATGCTCCCTCTGCCTGGCTAGGCTGTGGGAAGGATCCCACCGTGCCCTTCACCCCATCCCAGCCACCATGTTTCATGAAGGCTTGGCCAGTCTTCTGTGCACACAGCATGCTACTGCAGTGCTGCAGCATCCCTGCCCGCTGCCAGGATGACATCCACCCATCGCAAGTTCAGCCCAGCTTTGCTCTGAGCTTATGCTTCAGTTATGTGGGAAGAGAGATGCCTCTACTACCATTAGCCCCATTCATTGCAGCTTCAAACCATCCTATCTGGTCTGACAGATGAGTGTGCTGTAATCTAATTAGTGGAAGAACCCAACATGTGCCACCTCTGGCCCTCCCCATCTCTGCCTGCTCTCCACAGAACCTCTTCTGAAGCCCTCTTCCAACACCACCCCTTACCCTCACCTTATGGCATGGAAAAACATGGTGGAAAGGGGACACTCACAGAGTTCACACTTGAGCCCATAGGACTTCCCAATCTTGTTGACTCGGACCATTGGGGTGCAGCCAATTCTCTTCAGGATGTTGGGCAAGATCTTTTTTTCTTCTGGTCTGAAATGAAGTGGAGAAAAGAGAAATACATCAAATTAAAACAACTGTTATGCAACACGAACCAACAGAAAATCTGAGTGAGATTTCTGCAACTTTAGCAAGGCCACTGACAGACAACCCAGCTCCAAGAGAAAACATCCCCGTTGACAATTAATGGCAATAGGAGCCAGTGATGGTTTTCCATCACTCCTACAATGAGTTATTAATTCTTCTGCATAAAAAATAAGGTAATTTATTTTCAGGGCTGTTCTGAAATGTCTTGTTCTGCAAGGTTCTGGGCCAGGCCTGTAATTAAGTGCAGTGGGAAGAGCTGACAAGCCTTGGGCCTCGATGCAGTGGGTGAGATAGCCAGGAGGCCATGCACAGTATAAGGCTCCTCCTCTTTCCTCCACCCTACCCATCGCCACCTCTGCTCTTCACATTTTCAGCTACCTCAGGGCCATCTGCTGCTCGCCTGGCCACATGCATGGATGGCTCCCAGGCATCGGACAGGCCCAAGCCACAGAACACTCTGGAGGGTGCTTTCTGCAAGTAATTAAACCAAACCCTTGGATCAGTGGAATCCAGCTTTCCAGTTCTGCTAGTCGCAGGCTCCAGCAGAAGCCAAGAACCACGTCAAAGCAATTGAAACCAGAATGAAGGACTGGTTTGCCCAAAGCCAATGCATCTTGCCATGCAGTGAGAGGACTCATGTCCTTGGGCTTTTTAAAAGACAAAGGGGAAAGATTGATGAGGGCTGCTTTTATTGAGGCCACAAAAGTATTGCCCCTGGTTGGGGAGCCAGCACGTCTCTCTTTCAGTGGGGTGGCAAAGCCCCACTCCCTCACTGCTCAGCACTCCTTTGCACAGCTCTGTCCTACTATCGTCCTTTGAACCTTGAACCCAAGTTATCCTTGTCAGCTATCACAGCAAGGCAGATGGCTGTCTGCTGACAGAAAGTCCATGTGGTGCAGGAATGACATGCAGATTTACTTAAAGACACACACACCTCCCTCTGGGTTTTGCAAGAGTGAATGAAACTAACACTTCTTGCTTTGCAAGAGTACAGGGGTAGTGGCTTAGTGCAGGGCTTTACCACCACAAGGAGCCAGCTTTCTTACATCTCAAGCCCAGAAAAGATGGAGTATTACTCGTGTGCTGTTACACACTGCACGCATTGCAACCTCTACTGAGTGCTGATAAATGTGAGGTAATAACTCAGTAAATGAGCTTCCCCCACTGCTGCAGCCATTTTCCATCTGTTCTAAAAGCCACCAAATACTCAGCGATTTCAGTGGGGCTGAGCCACAGCATGGGGAGGCTCCAGCTCCTTCAGGCTATGTTTAACTAGAGAGTTAAACACTGCCTTTCAGTGTTTTATGCTGTGTATTACGCTACGCGTCTATATTGCAGGAAGACAGCTTGAGAGAAGAAAGCAAGGCCATTTATTTGCCTTCACCTAATAACTGTGGTGAATAAGATGTGAACCCCAGCAAGACGTGATACAGCATGGCGAGATGCTTGTGCAGCTCCGGGCTCTGCAGTGGTGGACTCTAGCAAGGAGATGGAGAAGTGGACTCATGCCGGGGTAAGCCTTGCTGGGAGGGTGGAGGTGGGAACCAGAAACTGGCCTGCTCTTTTGCATTGCCACCAACAGATTTTCTATGGTTCCCATCAAATACCTTTCCTAATCACTACCATATTTTACTAGATAAATAATCATAGCATGATCAGCTCCCTTCTCCAGCTGCATGTGCCCGGAGGCAGCAGGTCTATGCGAATACATATGTTTGAGACAAACACCTTTGTTGCTCCTAAAGGATGCAGTGCAGACACTCTAGTCCTGCAGCTGCTGATATCTGTTCAGGATTGCAGAGGACAAGGATGTTATTTTCCCAGGATACCTGCTTTTACTCGTGGCATGTTATTCCATAAGATGCCCAGGGAAAAAATCAATCCTGGCAAACAAAGCGATTGTTGTTGAGATTATGGCGGGTTAGAATTGGCTCGAGGGATTTCAGAGCCAGTCTAGCTCCGTATATTTGGAAAAACACAAATAATTAATGCTCCTAGTTAAAATAACATCTTGTCTTCTTAATTGAAATAGCATCTCCCTCTGCCCCCGTCCTCTGCTTTTACCCCCAGAAAATTGAGTTTCACACAGGAATCTCAGAAAATCCAGAGATTTTTGCTACTTCAGTGCTATCTGTGGTTTACCAAGAGAGGAGAAACCAAACCACCCCTTCCATTCATTGCTGCAAAATAAAACAAATGGTGAGATGTGTCCTGGTGTATTTTCTTCACTGCTGTACAGTACGCCATGTTTCAGTCCCTGCCCCAGCGATGCTGCACAGGCCCCTCATCCAGACACCAGTGCCTGATTTCTGGATGTGGGGCTGCCCCAGTGCCACCCCCCTCCCTCCAGCTGCCCATCTCCTGGCACCCTAATGCTAAACTGTTAAAAACCAGAAATACTATCCTGGCCGGTTGAGAGAAAAACCCCAGTTTGACTGAAAAAAGCTGGTCCTATCCTCAGGCAGCAGCTACAGGGATTGCACTGAGTGCATGCCTGGATGCATATTTGCCAGGTCAGCAATAAGGCTGTGGATTCCACTCTTCCGCAGTTCCTGAGCTGGAGGTGGTTCTGGGTTCCACACACACCAGTGGCTGTGCTCTGGCCATGTCCTGCCAGGCACGTGGTGTGACACTCCTCCAGCTGGCTCCCGGCTGGCAGGCATCCATGCAGAGCAGTGCCGCACCTCCCATGGGCTCCAGTTCCTCACATGCTTGAGCTAAGTCATGTTTTGCATCTTTGGCACCGCAGGGACGTGTCTGCAGCTCCCCTGATATTTATAGGACAGCCTTATCTTTAATAGTTTGTCTGTGTCTGCTTTGCTGGGCTATTAAACGTCTCTCATTGAGTCTAGTCTGAGCACTTTGGCAGGCTTATCTCACCCTGGGAGGAAACACGCTGCTGTGAGGACAAGAACCACTCAGAGCAATGACTTTGCTTTGCACTGCACTCTTGTGTTGCTTACACATAGCGGGCATCCTCCGTGTGGACCATTTTCTGCCTGTTTTAAAGCCCAGGCCCTGATTTTCATGGAAGTTTCTTAGCCATCAGTAAAGACATTGCTAATGATCTGAAATCTCACACATAGCTTCAGACTGTTTGAATGAAGGGGGGTAGCCAAACTGCAACACTTCAACTGATGACTGTGTGACTGCTACTGACTGTGCTGTAGAGCAGGATGGGTACACAGCTTCGGGGTGTAAGCATGCATTACACTGCAGCCAGGAGAGCCACTACTGCACATCCTCCAGCATGTTGGAAGTGCCCTCACTTGTGCTGTGCAACACCAGACCTCACAGAGTCCACTTTGCAGATGTGTACAAGACCCTGGTTGAAATCTACCTCTGAAATATGCTCATCTGAATTCTTCTAAAATAGGTGCTCCAAACTGCTTCATACTGACAAGTAACAAATGACTGCAGGTCATGACCATCCTGGTGTAACAATAGTGCTTCCTCTTCACAAAAAGATACTGTCTGCACTCTGAAATAACCACCATGAAAGAATTACTTACAAGGGCACGCAGGAGTGTGGAGACTTGGAGGCAGGTGTTGTAGGTGTCCATGTGCACTTACTGGGCAAGTTGGGAAGAATCCAGGAGCTGTCGGCTTTGTTTCCATGATTCCCCACACAATTGCCGTTCATGAGCGGACACAGCTTGGTCAGCTCCTGTGTTGTGGAAATAGAGACCCACCATCACCTGGGAGGACAAGCAGGCAGGTACCTTGGCAATCATTGTGGAAGGCAAGAAATGACATTTGGGTGTGAAGGCAGCCAGCACAGGGCATCCCCACTGGCATTTCAAACACCTGATTCTAACAGATGCATAGAATTGCTCTTTCGGAGGGGTATACTAGACCATGTACATGGTAAATTATCATTTGGCCACCATCTCCAGTCAATCTTCCCCTGCTCTAATGTATGTTGAAGCATCCCTCCCACTAGAAAATGTAATGCTTTGTAATTAATTATTCTGTCAAGAGCAGTATTTGTCACTCTAACAGTGAAAAACTGCAGATAAGTCTACCCTGCAATCATTTGAGAATACTTGTGTAGTGGTAGTGAATGGCCTCAAAGCAGCAGAGGACACCTATGCTCTGGCATCTTAGTGTGTTAAAAGTGAGAAGAGAGAATTGATAGAAACAAAACTTCGGGGAAGGGCTGCAAAGGTGCTCAGGGGTACAGAGCAAGTTCCACAGTAAAACAGCTTAGAGAATGATTCTGGTGGTAAGAGCAGGCTGTAAATCCTGTGGGAATTTTTGGGTGACTGAGAAACAATTTTTTGGTTCTCAGCATCAAATAATAAGGCAAAATAAAATTATCAGGAACAACTATAGGAGCAGAGCAGGTAAAACTGGAAAAAGAATAGTTTAAACAAGTTCTAAGTGCAGAGGGTTGCCTGCAGAAGGATCAGGTCTGCAGCCACTTGAAGTGGAGGGGATGTGGGAAAGCCATTCTGGATACTGCCCTGCAGGAGGAAATTCAGGCCACTGACAGGAGGATGCTGGAGCCAACACGCACAGCTCAGGTAGTGGAGGCCAACAGGTCCACAGAGCATCATCTTCATCCCAGGCCATAAAGGCACGGCTCTGGCCCTCCTGGATACCCGGGCTGCCTGCTATGCCTGCAGAGCCCAGCTGAGTCACGGTGGCCAGACCAGAAGCCAGCACAGTGTTGTGGCTGGGTCCCCATGACCTGATTTATCTGTGGCTCCACACGTGAGCCCAAGGACAGCCTGAATTACCGTTTCTGCCATCCTCCTCCTGCTCGCTTGCCTGTTTCACCCACTTGGCTGGAGCTCCTTGGAAGCGGCACGTCAGGACTACCTGAGGTCAACGTCGTGCTTTCCCAGTGGCTTCCCCACTGGCCAGGAGGATGTGGCTGTGGTTTTCTCCTGGGCGTTGGGCTGTCCCTGAAACACAGAAGTACACCATACTGGTGTTGGAGCAGCACCATGGCGTGAGGTCAGGCTTGCTTCTCAACCAGAAGCCCTAGGGAATCTCTGAGGATGGACGTCAGCAACCTCATGTTGTCGCCTGGCCCCATGACTGCAGCTTGAAGCAGGGCAGCAGGCAGCAGACACTGGATTGCCTTCACATCAGACACTGAGCTGCCTTTTCTCCTCCAGACACACAAACCCCAGTCTCACAAAGCAGAAAGACACCATGAAGGTGCAAGGATGGTCATGCCAAAATGGCTTGGACCCTGCAGCCAACAGCAACTCTTCCAGCACACTTTATCTCCCAGTGCTCTTCCCCCCAAAATCTGCTCTGTCTTGGGATGATCAAGGGAAAAATAATAAAAATGTTATTTTCTTGCAAGCCAGGATTTGTGTTGGCCTTGAGTGTGTCTCCCCCAGCAAATCTGTATTTACCTAATGAATTAACTGGGAAGGAGCAAAAGTCCTCTGTGGGTAAAGAAGAGATAAGCCGCAGCGTATCAGAGGCGCTTGCACTCTTTCACAGCTGAAGTCACTGGTTACCAACCAAGCTGGAGGCAAGCTGGTTTACTTTCTTTCTTTTATTAGTACCTTTCTTTCTCTTGTTTTCTTTTTCCTGGTGATGCCCATCTTGACCATTTCACAGTGAGGTGGAAAGAGAGGAAAGGCAGGGGGCTGAAATTATTAGAGCTGCTTTTGTGGGTCTTCTCCTTCTTTGCCAGCATGTTGCTGACATTATCAGCCCAAGGGAGGCTGACGTTGTGGGGCCCCACATAAGCCCCCTTTTCCCTCCAGCCCCAACTATGTGGGCATGCTGCCTGTGCCCCATCTTCCCCTGGGGGCTCAGGAGCACACTGAAGCCCTTCAGGCACCCACCTGAAGACAGCAGGATCCATGCTCCTACCTTGCTGCCACCAAGAAGTGCCACAAACTGCAGCATCGCCCCTGCCTGGAGCAGCCAACCTGGCCCACAAGCCAAGAGTTGGAGGCAGCATGCCATGCTGAGGTGGTTGGTGCTGGAGGACTGCATGGAAGGAAGAGTATTACTGGCTGTCTGCCTTCTAAAATAACGATTGTATTCTGCTCACTGTGTTCAGTTCCCTTAACATCTGATCTAAAAGAAATGGCAAGAACGGGCATCCCATTTGTTTGCTCACCCAAAGCGGATCCAGATGTGCTTTCTTAGATGCCTGGAGAGCAAAGAAACAAGACCTGGCCCTTGTCAACATCCACATTCCTCTCTGCTGGAGGATTTCTCATGTATCATCTCAAGGGTTGGTTAATTCCTGGTGTGGTGCTGCAGCAGTGCACAGATCTCATCCTGGTTATGAATCACTTAAAAAATGTCTGCAGCACTGTGCCCAGGGTCTGGATTTAAATTAAGACGTGTCTGAAACCACTGTGGCTCTGAACGGAACCTTAGAAATTACCTGAACTGTAGGAACCCCAATACTGTCTGTATGAGACGGCAGATGACCTGCTACAGTACCAATGGGAAGAATCTGACTTTCCCCTATCTTTTGGAGGCCTTGACATGACACCAGTGAGCTGCTCCCCTGCTGATGGTCTCAGCAGTCACTTCCATAAACATGCAGGCTGGGTAGCAAATATGGGCAGAAAGGGGCATGGACAATCTGACTGCAGCCAGGAATGACTGAAAGGAGCAATACCTAGTGCTAACATCTCCCCACACTGCCTCCAGTGCAGTTTTAAGTCATTTTATGTCATAAATCAAAGCTACGTCCTCTCTTGATTACCAAAACTCTCACGTACCATAGAATCACAGAATAGTTAGGGTCGGAAAGGACCATAAGATCATCAAGTTCCAAACCCCCTGTCCCAGTACAACTCCTAACCCCTGCCTGAAACTTCATCTGATGAAACCGATCATCTGATCAGGCTGTCAGATACATGTGACCTGTTGGTAGGTACCCTGAAATGGCCTTGTTACTTTTCTAGATAGAGAAGCTTGATGTGGCACTGGACAAAGAATAAATGAAAATATCTATTGGAGCTGGGAGGCAAGCCAAGATACCAGTTATGTAACAGTCCTGTAGTTGTTGCCGCTCACTGAAAATATATGACACAGAGCATAGGCTAACGTTTATAGAGTACTTTGCAGATAACAGATTGTAATTATTAGGTTATCAGACTCCACTGATAACATCAAAAGGAAGAAAATCAAGACAGTCATTAATTCAAATGCAGGGGAAGTAAGATGAACTCAGCAGGGCACAGAGTTACATGCGAACCCGCCCCATCCAAAGCAAAATGATATTTTCTTGCTCTATTTAAAGAAAACCCCAGCACTGCTGTCACTGAGCAAGACAAACACAACATCAGTTTAACAGAATCATGGAGTGACCCAGGCTGGAAGGGATCTTGTGAGGTGCCCAGTCCAGCCTCCCGCTCAGAGCAGGGTCAGTGCTGCCTTCAGCCCAGGTTGCTCAGGGTTTTTTTCCCTTGAAAACCTCCATGGATGGAGTCTGCACAAGCTCCCCAGACAACCGTCTCTACCACCCCACTGGCCTTGTAGCGCAAAGCCAGAACCTCCCCAAGTTTCAGCTTCGTTCAGACCTTTCTGAAAGCGCAGACACTCCCTGGATCAGCGTCAACCTTTGAACAGGCTGAGAAACAAAGACTACCAGATTCCTCCTGTTTGCATGCTTTTCCGCAGCAAAGTTACCTGGTTAGTGGGCATGGCTCCCATGCACTCTGCCATTGGAAAAGCAGCGTTCTGTAATAGCTAAGCCATACTTACCACCTCCAGCGTATCAGCCAAGTGCCTTCACTGCACTCCAGCACTGAGCTTATATGCGCCCGGTGGCAGGGGACACCAATGGGCTGCGGTAAGCACCCTGCGCGAGGACGCTGATTGGGTGCTGCCCCACGCCTAGGAATGCCCAGCACCTGATTGCTCTCCAAGCGCAAATAATAGGGGTATAAAAAACCGATGAGCAATTCATTGTTAGTTTTAATTCACACTTACCTTCAGAAGTGCTGTCAACCCATCTCTCAGTGATCCCGTTGTGGTTTTATACCTTCGTTTCTGATCTGATTTCATGTCTTGTGCTTAAACCCTGCTCGTCTGCATCAGCATATGCCTTGCTGAATCAGGTATAAGCAATGACAGCTATGGCATATTACATTAGATGCTGTCTGATATAGACTGTGTCCTCTGGGAACCCGTGGTTAGTCTCCACACCACCCCCAGCCCTGAAAACCTCCTTTTCTTGCTAGCTCCAGCTCCTCATGCAGCTGCTTTACCATTAAAAGAGCCAAGAGCAGTGAACAGCTTCTGCTCCATGATGATTCCTGAATGCTGGCTGGGTGTTTAGAGCACTATGTGAGTGCAGATTTACTGAAAGAAGAAAAGCCCATGGGAATTTCAGTCCCTCCTTTACCTGCTCCTTCCCAAAGCCAGGGCAGTGCACAGAGCCACATGGCCCAGGCTGGGGCCATGCACACCCAGAACACAGTCATGAAGGAAACTTCACCCCTATTCAGACATTCAGGTGAGAATAAAGCTTTTTGGAATGCTTATTTTGGAACTAAACCTTTCAAAGACACAACTGGTGCTGGTATTAGCCCAGGAGTGACATTACCTTTGGTCTTTTTGCAACAAATGAACCCTCTGGAAAACATTGCCAGAGGTAATCCATTGCAGAAGAATCTTGTGGGCTATCTGATGCGACGCAGAGCATGGAGGTCTCTTGTAAAGAGGCTGCAAATAACCCTAACCCCTGCAAGAATTGTGCTGTCTGGGCGCTGCAGTTACAGAATAACCCAGCCACCCTTCCTGGCTACCTCCTGAAGGACTTGTGCTCCAAGTGAGGCCACATTGAAAACTAAGGTTCTTCCCTTCAGTGACCAAACAGCAAGAAATGGTGATCTTTCCAACCTAAAATTAAACCCAGGTTTAGATGGGTATCGGAGGGACAGAAGATTTTTTTTGGATAAAATACTTTGTTTAGAGAAGTAGTTTTTTTAAATGAAAGTTTTTTTCAGAAAAGGTCTAAATGGCAAGTTTGGAGGCTTGGGAAATAGAAAATCCCCTCACTTCCCCTTTTCTGGGGCAAGGTAAAAGCTGTAGCTACATCCAACAAGGTAAAAGCTGTAGCTACATCCAACGAGGATGCTCAAGTCATTTGCCACCTGCTGCTATTGGAGCTGTTATTTGGTCTGTGTTCAGCATCATCAGCTGCACTGGCACAAGTGTTTGGTTTTGCCCCAGGCAAGGACAGCAGGCATTTTGACATGGTTTCTCCTGCTTTGCCTGTGACTGGGTTGAGAGGAGAGGAGGAGCTGGCCCATGGGGGACTGGCTGGGGTCTGCACTGACATCCATGGTCATGCTTCCACTCCACACAGGCACACCAGGCGCTTCACAGCCTGTGCACGTAGTAAAAACATGTCCCGTGGGTACCTAATCCTACCTTACCATAATGTGGTGTTGTGTAAGTGTTACTAAGTTGAAAAAGCACACAAGAGCACATCACGCAGCCTTCCATTCCAGCTTGCACCGTACTGCCCTTTATCTGAACAGTTACCTTGCAGCTTTTTCCTTGCAGGATCCCGCTGACTAAACAGCAGAGTCCTCAGGCTGGGAAGCAGCAACCAGAGAGAACCAGCCAGGGCCATAGAAAGAGAAGGAGGGAGGTGCAGGGAGTGACTGGGGTGGCTGGGAACGCTGGGATGGCCCCTTGCTCTCACGGGGTGGTGTGGCAGAGAGTTCATGCCCGTGCACAGGGAGAGAACCTCTGCTTTTAAAGCGTCATCAAAAAGACTGCGCAGAGGTGGTTTCATGGAACTCCCCTTGGCAGGGTCAGGAAGGGACACAGCACTCAGGTTTTACTTCTGGGTGCTTGGGACATCTTTTGTGACCACAGAGACACCCCTTCAGTGAAGTTTTATCTGGAGACCATCAGGTTTTAAACCAGGTTCCCGGATCTGATGTACCAAGTGGGAAGAAATCCATGTTTTTTCCTTCCGTGTAGTTTAAAATCAAAATGGCTTTGCACAATCCAAGACTGAAATGGGTTTAAAAAGTTGCATTTTTGTTACTGCGCTGAGGAAGCCATCCAGGCCCTCCTGCTTTGCGAGAGGTCAGCATTTGCTTGTACAACCCACACGTGCTTTGAGTGCGTCTGCTGCCGGTGGCTGTAAGAGAGCCATGCTTTTCTCCAGGCAGGCAGCAGGCCTGCTTGTCCTAGGAGGACAGTGGAAGGAGCCCAAGGCACGAGCAGCTCCAAACTCACCAGATTTCACACCTTTCACAGGTCAGACCTGCTCTGCTTGCCCTGGTCAGCACATTCCTGCATCCTGATGAGTCCAAAAAGCAGAGTAGTGTCACTGTGAATCAGCACATGGCCTTCACTCCCCTTTCCCCATGGATATGAGGTGTCTGTTACAAACCACATAATGCAGGGAATATAAGGGTGGTTGGTGCATGCAGGACACTTGCTTGTTTGTCTGGCCATATGAATCCAGCTGGTTACCACCAGAAGAGGCAGCATTTTTCCAAAGCCTGAGGGTTGGCAGGTGTGAAATATGTATTTGTCTGAAGCAGCTTATGGTGTCTTTTTAGCTGGGGAAAGAGTAGTGTAACCTGTAGTGCAAACAGCACTTGGCTTTTCCCCTGAATAGGGGCGGACTTTTTCCTATGACTATAGCAGGGGAGCACAAGTGATGGCAGGTGAGGTGGCTGTGCTTCTTACTGCCACCCCACGGGTCAGGTCCTGCAGGCTCTCCCCTCACTCACCTTCCTCTAGCACTACATCTTCCAGGTGACTCAGAGCTTGGCACCAACCAAAGACTGGTTGGATACAGCCATGACAC